GACTTCGGATTTTCTTGAAATGTTGAGCGATTTTCAGTTTGTGCTCCGAATAGTTCACAAGGTATAAATACTCATTAAAGTAACTTGGTGTTCTGGTACGTCATTGCGATGTTACGATAGTCTGGAGTCAACGGAAGATGCCATATTTACTTTTTAATTACTTTCCTCTCAGCTGCGCAGTGTGCCTACCCTGCAGGCGACCACGCCGGATGCCCTTTGTAAGCAAGCCACTCGTAACGAAGTATTCAAAACCCCTATCCAAAACCATATGTCGACATTCGCGTTCGATCGTTAAATGACACGCTCATGGCAGCCATCCGTTGTTACCACGCATTCAGACAGGATGCGGCATTATATTAAGGCGTCTTTGTATAATTTAGCACATCGTTTCGGCTTGTGCTGTCATCTCGATGAATTATTTTGCCAAGAGCTAAATAATTTTTGTTTTCGTAGGTATGAACGCGCTGCCATCATCTGTTGACTCTCTCGGATTCGATTACTCTCAGGCCGGGTGGAGCTCAGACACAAAAGTCCAGTAGTCCCCGTTCTTAACACTTTGAAGCGTCATTTCGCGTATAATATTTAAGAATCCAGTCCGTACCGCGAAGAAAACAACTCTTCGCCATTACAAATATCAACTGGTTAACCCTTTGAAGCCACATTTCGCGTATAATATTTACGAATCCAGTCCGTACCGCGAAGAAAACACAACTCTTCACCATTACAAATATCAACTGGTTAACCCTTTGAAGCCACATTTCGCGTGTAATATTTACGAATCCAGTCCGTACCGCGAAGAAAACACCTCTTCGCCATTACAAATATCAACTGGTTAACCCTTTGAAGCCACATTTCGCGTGTAATATTTACGAATCCAGTCCGTACCGCGAAGAAAACACGACACTTCACCATTACGTAGATCAATTGGTTAACGCTGTTTAAGGAAATAATCGCTGTTTATAATGAGAATCGCACGAAACACATAAATACACTCTGTTGTGTTTTCTTTGTGGTACGGGACCCAGTCTTCAGACTTAGATGAACTTCGACCTCAAAGCACTGATGAAATACAGTGATATTCTGTGAGTGCTATGTACCACGTTATCTCCTTCAGTGGATCTGAACTTAAGTAAAACACATTATGAAGCACCCAACTAGGCCACAGATAAAATGGCGACGTGGTCTTTCGCCATCGTCAATGCTCGTCTTTGTCTTAGCATGAGCTTGGACATTTTGGGGTCTTCGGGTAATTTTTGGTGGGTTTTTTTTACTCTGAATTTGCTTTAGTTTTCTTATAAATTACAAAATTCGGTATAACCTTAGTTAAATTAATGTTATTCTGGATACAAAATTATTTTCGTACGATAGTGTACCAGTGGGTCGATAAAAGGCTCTCTGCCAACAGCGCGTGGTATAAGAAGTTTTTATTTTGCGTTCACCAGATGGAAATTCGACTGTCGACCTCATTTGGTTTATAAATGCCACGTTTTGTGACAAGTTCTTTCCTTTGATAATTGTTTTTATATGGGTTCTTCACTCAACCCTTCATCTGCCCCTCTGTTTTGAACAAGCACATCCCAAATATGAGGACTAAGTGAAACCCGATGTCTGTCACGCGTATGCGGGCCAGGGGAGACCATTTCTTTCAGCACGCAAGCCTGTCGTCTTTTGTCACTGCCAAACTTCGTTATCGAATTGAGTTCGTGCTTATGGATGTATTTTTTTTTTACAGTTTTAAAGAATCTAATGAAATTAGAGTGGATCTCGTTGTTTAGTGTTTCGGAAACTGTACTTGCCTCCATCATAAAGGTGGACGACATCGACCCTGATGATGGAGGCAGAGCCAGTCTCCTAAACGTTCTAAACACGGATCTCATCGCCTTAGAAAACATCATTGCATTCAGTTGATGTTTGAGGCTTGCACGGAGGTGATTTTGTGGGTCAGTTACCGCCGTTCTTGCCAAAATTTGTTTTTTTTTCTCTCTCCCCGAAACGTCGGTAATTTACAACATTTCATGGCGTCGCAGTCCACAATGTGGATGGATATCGTTGCATTTCAGCGGCGTACTGTTATTACTGTGGGCTTGTGCTCTTCTGAATCATATTTAAGAATTCAGTCCGTACCGCGAAGAAAACACTACACTTCACCATTACAAAGATCAGCTGGTTAACACTGTTTAAGGAAATAATCGCTGTTTATAATGAGACACGCACTGCGTGCATAATATTTAAGAATTCAGTCCGTACCGCGAAGAAAACACTGCACTTCACCATTACAAAGATCAACTGGTTAACGCTGTTTAAGGAGATAATCGCTGTTTATAATGAGACACGCACTGCGTGCATAATATTTAAGAATTCAGCCCGTACCGCGAAGAAAACACTACACTTCACCATTACGTAGATCAACTGGTTAACGCTGTTTAAGGAAATAATCGCTGTTTACGCTGACAATTATTCGAAAGCCATACATGCTCTGTGGGCTTTAAAGGGTTATATCTGGCGCAATTTTTTTGTTGTATTTTTAATTGCATATTTCATAGATTCGCGTAAATACACGCCATGGTTTTAGATGTATATTTTCGAAATAATTCTTCCCTTTGGATCGTGACCAACGGGTTGGTCACCCCTGGAGTAGACCTTTCACGGAAACCCCACATTTGCAAGCAGATCACTTCCGGAGCCGGATACGTTCATTGTGCGCCCCTGTGATAGTGATACAGTTTTGCAGTGGTTGCCATTTGTGATCTCATTTCGTCTTTAGGATTAGAAAACATTTTTTTAATATTGTTTTAACTTTCGAATTAAAATGGTATTTGATTCTAATTGAATGTTTCTCAAGTTAACATTTTTCTTATGACTTATTGTTACTTGTTCATCTCATTCTTATTTCTAAACAAACAAAAAACTGGCTTGTTACCCTGATGATGGAGGCAGCATGACCTCTGAAACGTTGGTAAACATCGACCAGACTACACAGCGCAACAACCCAGAAGACGGAAATCTTCATACTCTGATGACGGAGGCAGTATGACCTCTGAAACGTTGGTAAACATCGACCAGACTACACAGCGCAACAACCCAGAAGACGGAAATCTTCATACTCTGATGACGGAGGCAGTATGACCTCTGAAACGTTGGTAAACATCGACCAGACTACACAGCGCAACAACCCAGAAGACGGAAATCTTCATACTCTGATGACGGAGGCAGTATGACCTCTGAAACGTTGGTAAACATCGACCAGACTACACAGCGCAACAACCCAGAAGACGGAAATCTTCATACTCTGATGACGGAGGCAGTATGACCTCTGAAACGTTGGTAAACATCGACCAGACTACACAGCGCAACAACCCAGAAGACGGAAATCTTCATACTCTGATGACGGAGGCAGTATGACCTCTGAAACGTTGGTAAACATCGACCAGACTACACAGCGCAACAACCCAGAAGACGGAAATCTTCATACTCTGATGACGGAGGCAGTATGACCTCTGAAACGTTGGTAAACATCGACCAGACTACACAGCGCAACAACCCAGAAGACGGAAATCTTCATACTCTGATGACGGAGGCAGTATGACCTCTGAAACGTTGGTAAACATCGACCAGACTACACAGCGCAACAACCCAGAAGACGGAAATCTTCATACTCTGATGACGGAGGCAGTATGACCTCTGAAACGTTGGTAAACATCGACCAGACTACACAGCGCAACAACCCAGAAGACGGAAATCTTCATACTCTGATGACGGAGGCAGTATGACCTCTGAAACGTTGGTAAACATCGACCAGACTACACAGCGCAACAACCCAGAAGACGGAAATCTTCATACTCTGATGACGGAGGCAGTATGACCTCTGAAACGTTGGTAAACATCGACCAGACTACACAGCGCAACAACCCAGAAGACGGAAATCTTCATACTCTGATGACGGAGGCAGTATGACCTCTGAAACGTTGGTAAACATCGACCAGACTACACAGCGCAACAACCCAGAAGACGGAAATCTTCATACTCTGATGACGGAGGCAGTATGACCTCTGAAACGTTGGTAAACATCGACCAGACTACACAGCGCAACAACCCAGAAGACGGAAATCTTCATACTCTGATGACGGAGGCAGTATGACCTCTGAAACGTTGGTAAACATCGACCAGACTACACAGCGCAACAACCCAGAAGACGGAAATCTTCATACTCTGATGACGGAGGCAGTATGACCTCTGAAACGTTGGTAAACATCGACCAGACTACACAGCGCAACAACCCAGAAGACGGAAATCTTCATACTCTGATGACGGAGGCAGTATGACCTCTGAAACGTTGGTAAACATCGACCAGACTACACAGCGCAACAACCCAGAAGACGGAAATCTTCATACTCTGATGACGGAGGCAGTATGACCTCTGAAACGTTGGTAAACATCGACCAGACTACACAGCGCAACAACCCAGAAGACGGAAATCTTCATACTCTGATGACGGAGGCAGTATGACCTCTGAAACGTTGGTAAACATCGACCAGACTACACAGCGCAACAACCCAGAAGACGGAAATCTTCATACTCTGATGACGGAGGCAGTATGACCTCTGAAACGTTGGTAAACATCGACCAGACTACACAGCGCAACAACCCAGAAGACGGAAATCTTCATACTCTGATGACGGAGGCAGTATGACCTCTGAAACGTTGGTAAACATCGACCAGACTACACAGCGCAACAACCCAGAAGACAGAAATCTTCAACCTTTAAGTGAACTTCCACCAATTTACTTTCTGGAAGATGAGCCGTTTTGATTCTAAACGTGAGAACCTGAAATCTCACCTGGAATATTTATGTCACAAAACTTGATATCATAATTTTCTGCAGACGAAGCTTTCAGTGTGCCAACTATTTACGTTCATGCGCATGAAAGCTATTTTGATGTGCTCGGATGGTGTGCGCTTGAAACTTGATAGAATTATTTGACATCGCTGTTTGACTACAGCGTTCTGAATTTGTTGTGTGTATTAAGAGTCGTGATCTTGTTTTAGGCTACCCTGAACCCAGATACCAGTGGCTGAAGGATGGAGTCGCTTTAGGGGAATTTTCTTCTGAACATTTCTATAGAATTCACACGACACAGCGTGGGGATACCGGCAGTTACCAGTGTGTCGCCCGAAATGATGTAGGATCCATCTTTAGTAAAAAGATTGCAGTGTCTGTCGCATGTACGTATACACTAAAACTTTATTTCCCAGACTTTCGTAAGAGTGGTTAACCGTATATTTTTTTTTTTAAGTGCACGAGTGAAATTGTAAAAACGAGACTGACACATCTCTCGCTGAACTTCAGAATGTGATAAAATGTGTCTTGACGAAGTAACATTAGTGGAAACAACTGATTGGATCATTTTGCTTTGTGAGATCTTGAATTTGTTAGACCTTGTTAGGATAATTAGAATGTTTATGTTATTTTGTGTAGTTTAAGTAATGATGAGTACAGTTCCATGATCTTGTTTGGTTCGATGATTTTAGCTTAAAAAAATAACAGAACCGTGGAGAAAACTGCATTATGTGTACGCTTCTGCATGTTATTACAATGCCTAGGTCAAGGCTGCAGAAGGCTTGTGTTAGATGAGAGATAGAAGCAGAGTCGTAGTTATGGAACCTGATGAGGAGAGACGTAGATGTAGGAAAGGATTATATTAAAATGGATTTTAGAGTTGGCAGTCGGTACCATCCTATAGGAGGTTATGTGGTTCCCAGAGCCAGTCTGGATGCAGAGGTTAGAAGGAAAATTCTTAGCCCCTGCCAGGGTTCGGTCTTCGGTTGTCCAGTCTGTGGTTAGACACTGTATTAAATGAACTACTCCGGCTGGATGCTCATTCTATTTCTTATGCGGAATTTGGTTACCATTGCCGACAGTACGTTTGTTACAGATATGGGAACATTTGAAGATGCGACTGAACGAAAAGTCAGCGTGACGTCAGGGCAGGCAGCAGTGTTGGATCTGCCGGTTATCGAAAGCCATCCTGCGCCTTTAGTGACTTGGTTGACGGACGGAGGGACGCAGTTATACGGTCGCAAATATGCCGTCACGGCAGATAATCAGCTTGTTATTCTGGATGCGAGCGATTCTGACCAAAAAGCATACAGGTGAATATAAAAGTGTGAAATAAGAAAATGTTGAGAAATTTTTGCAAATAGACATGACCTTGAAGTTATCTCAGAAGTGATACAGCCACATGTTTGTGGAATGTGAATTATCAACATTTAGATGCTAAATGATTTGTTTTATTCATTTCTTCATTAATATGAGCTGAAATTGGAATGGGTTATACCTGAATAGTTATCTAACTTCATGGTGTATGGTCTTCCTTGAAAAATCTTATTGTATTTCCTACAAAATTATATTCAGTCGAGTGTTAATTACTGAGTAGCATTTTGCAAACTTACTCGGGGGAATAAAAATTGTGTTTCTCATTCGTATAGGGCACAAGCAGTTAACCCGCACATTGGAAGAGAAGAGTACAGCGCTTTCATAAGACTGACTGTGACGGGAGATGGGCCGGCAGAAATTGCACCTGAGATCGTCGTGAAACCGAAAGACATGCACATCGTAAAAGGAGAAGCTGCTGTTGATTTGCAGTGCTTAGCTAATGCCAGGTATGTCGGTATGTCCGTAGAGCACAGTTATAAAATATTTTGACTCGGACCGAGCACTTGCCAGTTTTCACTGTACAAATATGCTGATGTTTACAATAGAGACAGCTGTTCATCCTGTGAACCATAATTGGTCGTAGACTTTCCTCACTTTTACTATTACCGCAAAGTTAAGGTGTATCGGTGTCATAAATCTTCAAGGTGGTAGATTTTACGTGATTTATGTTTTGCATTATTAACGGTTAAAATTCTCACTGTGTTTGTTATGCCTTATATCAGGCCACTTCATGAACTGGAGATGCTCTGGCTAAAGGATGGCATTTTGGTAGAAAATTCTGGCATTCCGTATGTCTTTAAGGATCCGTGGAACAGGACATTATCACTAGTCGGTGCTAAACTGACCCATACGGGCCAGTATACTTGCCAGGTGCGACTACGCAGCGGCGGATTCCCGACTGTATCAGCGAGTGCAACTGTCACTGTTTCAGGTTAGTGAGTTATGGTTGCAATACTGTAAGAGGTTCGGTGAGCGTGTCGTATCAAAAGAAACACACAGTCCATCTTCATGCATTGTAATGCTGTATACTGCTGTGCCACTGATCACATTATAACTCGTGATCAGTAGACGAGACTTCTGGGTCAATTTTTTCCTCCACTCCGAGATTAAGACTAGAAATTATGTGTGGGAGTAACTTAGGGTTTTGAAAAGCATTGTATTTAAAGAAATTGATTGGAAAGATTTGAAGCAAGCGCTACATAATTTTAATTTAATCTTTCACCGAAAAAATGTGTCCGTCGTTCAATTTCAGAGAAACCTTCATTTGCAAGCAGTACGAGGCCTGAAACTTTGGGTGAATACGGGACCGTAGTGACCCTGCCTTGTGAGGCTGTGGGTGTTCCGAGTCCCAACATCGTGTGGTTCCGCAATACGGAGAGAGTTGAGACTATTCCTGGCAACAGGTGAATAATTACTGTTTTTATTGAAGAATTGCGTTACGTACAGAGATCACCATTTAAGCCTTAATGTTGGTCTCGTGGTGTAAGTCGCAGGTAAGAAATACCGTCTTATGTGCTACAGGCAGAACTCTTTTTAAGTCTTGAAAAGTTTCTGCTGACAATTGATATGTCGAGGGGCATCATTTTATGAGTATTTGATTTTTTTTACAGTGCTCTCAACATTATTATCGAAATACTTTATGGATATTGATATTTCTTTAGTATAAATGCTTATAGTTTTGCATTTTAATGTGTTCCGTGCATTATGTGAATACGCTTAACAGATAAAGGGACGTTGTTTATTCATATCTGAAACTAAAAAAAAATATTTATCAGCTGAATACATTTTAAGTAATAATTAATGTAAATAACAAATGGAATTTGATAAAGAAAATAATTGAGTAACCTGTGAACCTGTTTGCAATAAGAGGTTTGTAGAATTTTTAATAAATCGGCGTGAAATTGCAGTAAATCGTCATGTGTTACGCAGCAGCTGTGGGTTGATAAGAAAGGCTGAATATGCCCCATGTATAAATATCAAGCGGTAATTTCATTTCCTATTTAAGAACACTTTGAATGAAGTAGTTTCAGATCTAAGTACACGAATGTGATGAGATTTCATGTTTCAGATATTCGGTTGTTGAAGATGGTTCGCTGGTTATTAAGAAGCTGAGGATGGAAGATTCAGGAATGTTTCAGTGTCTCGCAGCTAATGAGGCAGGCGAAGATTCGATCTACACATGGCTAAAAGTTAAAAGTAAGTAATAAAATATATGAGTACTTTGGATAAATAGAATCATGGTCTTACTCAGTCTGTAAAATAAAATTATGAGTATTCCCAGTGCTGGTGGTTACATAATTTAATAGACAAATGTATATAAAATCTTAGCTGTATAATCATTGATTTTTAAAAAAATTGTTTTCCAAAATTTCATATGTTTACATGTTGCAGCCTGAAATAGTCACAGACCGTGCCTTAGCCGGTGGATCGTTTCTGTTCTGTGCCTCACAATTTTCTTTATTTTAATTTGCCACAAATTGTATTGTGTGTTCTGTAGAAATCTTGGTCACCATAAGCTCGCTTTCATGCCAGGGCTTTGCGCAGAATGTCATTGAAGTGTTCTGTAACAAATTCCTCCTTATGCTGTTTAGTATAAAGCATTGGTGGCCTTCATTTTATTTTTTTATTTTAGCAAAACCTGTATGATGTATTATTCTGAGCACAGCTTTATTTTTGTTGTCATAGTAACACATTTATTAAATCAGCATCTTTTTTAATCAAGCCATCTCAACATATCTTAAAATGTTTCATTTAGTATTATGAGCGAGCGAGTATAAGACTGGATGTCCTAGTCTTCGCTGCTTCGACCAGCAGTGTTTTTCGTACTGTTAAGTTGTTATGTCATATACAGTGTCTGGTATTTAAATAGATTCTGTCTGTTGATCTGTAGAATAATCAACGCAGTGTTCTACATGATGTGCTTGTTTGGTTTGTTTAAGAGTTATTTGAAAATTTTACAACTCGTTTATGTTTCTCTTGGCTCGTAACAGAGGGCCATAGCAGAAGTACGCGTGGGGTCGCACCTAATATTGTGCGTGTGCGGCAATCAGATCTCCATTCTAGACCGTTTGGGCCGTATGGCAGCGGGCGTAAGATTTGAAATTATTTCTGATGCATTTTGGGTAGCTTAGTATTCACCATCACCACACTGAAACACGTACTTGCTTAAGCTTGTTTGGTGTGAATTTAGCCCTGCACGGTTGAATAGTCTAGTGTAGCACCTAGGGACGGTTGTCCGCATTTGAGACATCAGCTTGGAGTTAGCCACTTGCATCAAGTATGAGAAATAGTTGACTATATTCCATTCTAAATATTCACGGTCGAACTACGTATTGCATTTGTTATACAATGGTCGTTGAAACAATAGTTTACCGAGGTTTTAATTTGAATTCAAATGGATTAACTGTCAGTTATTACAATTCAAATAATTAAACCGAAAGATGTTGCTGATATTGTGCATCAAATTATTGCATAGATCATTAAATAACTGTTTTTAAACAATATTTTGCCAAGACTTCAGTCATTTAAAATGGATTAAATGACTGTTAACATTTCAAACAATTAGGAAACAATATGTTTGTGATATTTGGGTTCTCCTTTACTGAGAATACCTGTGACAATTTTATTTCTTTAATCTTGTTTGTGGTATAAATATCACTTATTATATTATTTACCCACACGCAGTACAGAAAAAATCATATTTAAGTCGTGAGTTAACTTTAATTCACGATAAAATTAGAGAAAATCGTCGTAACATTGTCCGCCTTTCTGAAGATTTTGTGAATGGGATACAGCCATGTATCTTCTCATGTATTAGTGTGCATGTATAAAAGTCAACAAATTTTTGATAGAATGTTTAGTTTAGTTACGTTTTACGATTGCTGGAACTTGTAATTACGGTGAGTATTTATTCTTTTATGATCTATATTTGTAAGTAATCTCATGTTCCGAGTCTCTGTACTTCTTTTGCCATCAAAAGTTAGGTTAAAACATTTAGAGTCAAGTCTTCATTTAATATCAAAATGTTATTTGAAAGAGATGATGATTTTTTTATTTAACCATCAAAGTTTTGATTTTACAATAGCCGTATTATTATTGTTGTATCCACGCCTTTGAAAGTCAAATATTCTGTAATGAAATTAAACCTGTTTTTCATTAGTTAACTTCAAAGTCCAGTGCATTTTGCAAAGGAAGTAAAGCAGATTAATTCAAAGATTTTTACAGGAAATTTTTATATGTAATTCTTGCATGTCTACCGCAGGATAGCGCTGAGTAACTTTAGAAGTTAATATTTTGTTTACAGTTCCACAGTAAAATCTCATCTGCATATCTGTTATGAATGATATAAAACATTTTGAAGTATTTCAGATAATTTAATCAATCTCATTTTCTTAGGTATAAATGGTGATGATACTAGTGGAATTTAATTTCAGTCAGGGACGTAGTTCAGATTTATCACATCTTTGTCAGTTTTGCCTCCAGCAACCCCACTGGAATAATTACATTGTGAATTTCTGTTTTTGTCCAGAAGGAGACTCGTCATTAACACTTTCTCTATGTTATGTTTATGCTGCAAAGAAAGATTTTTAGAACGCCGTTCAATAAAATTCAGGCTAAGAAATTTATGTTTTTGCGATAAAATTGTTATTAAATGTAGTAGAAAGTGATGTATGTTTACAGCTGCTGTTCCGATAATGGAAACACCCCCACAAAATGTGACGGTGCTGGACGGGAAGGATGCGACCATAAGTTGTCGAGCTGCCGGGGCACCTACTCCCAATATCACTTGGATTTATCAAGGTACGCCTGCTTTGACATAAGTTATTAGACATATCAGCCGATTAAAATTTTTAATAAATTAATCGGTACGAATTGTTATGAAGAAACATTACCTTCTCTACTTTTACACGAACATAACCATTTTGTTTGTTATCCAGATCTAGTTGTGAGACAACTTAGAATGAGACTAACTCGTTGAATTTCTGAATTTACATTTACATAATTTATGCTGTGAACCACAGAAGACAAAAATAAGAGAAACGTAAACATTTTATAAAGTTACATAGTCAAAGTCAAGGCAACTTATGACGCAGTTTGTGTGCTGGAAGGGTAGGATGTCTGTTGATATGTGGAAGCTTTGCCGATATTAAACGTAACTTTTCCCGTAAGATGTTACAAGTTACAGCTTTGTTTTTTTTTAAGTTACACTGACTTGTGGTTAGCGCTGTTATGTTAAGTTGAAGCGTGTAAGTAGATTTAAGAATATGACATTAGTAGTAAATTATTATTTACTGGTACTAAATCAGAGGGTGAATGTAAGGACAAAAATTAGTCTAAAAATTTTAATTGAATTGAAAAATTATATCTGTATTTATTTATGGAGAAAATGAGTTTCTGTGGTTAGAATATGGAAACAAAGAACGGAAGAGTAGCCTCAGATTCACGTGATAAAGTTATTTCTGTTTGTCTACATCAGTCTTTGAAGAACGTGCACTTGGTATGCCATTTACTTACGTGCGCGTGTGTAGCCGTTTACATAAGTAGTGCAGGTGTCCTGAGGAGACAGCCCGTGGGGTTTCTTTTTTCAGATAACAAAGCAGTCGAGGCATCAGGGCGTCTGCAGGTGCTGGATCCAGGTGATCTTCTGATTGCCGCAGTGAAGGAGAGTGATGCCGGTCTCTACACATGTGTTCGCGCTAATGAGGCGGGTGACGTGCATGCCTCAGCATACTTGACGGTCTTAGGTGAGGGAAAGGCACGGAATTTGTGACCATCATGCAATATCGACAGTGACTGAGATTCTCATAGGCGGACTTGTATTTGAATTGTTTGGGTTTAGTAAGGTTTCAGATTCTCACAGTTGTGAATATGAAGGTATCTGGCTTCTGCGTTGTAGCAACATGTAGTCTGATTTTGCTGACATTTTGGATGTGCTTGCTACGTCATTGCTCTGTCGATGGATGCAACAAACTCCTCAGAAACATGAGTACGTTTCTACCAGACTATGTTTTGTGACAACGGAGAAGACTGACATTGAGCTTATGCATATAATTTGAAATAAGTCATAAGATATCGTGTTTTGTCTGTTTAACGGCAGTGAGAACGCATATCATCCAACCACCTGTTGATACTCGAGTTTTGTTGGGTCACACAGCAACATTACAGTGTAAAGTATCAAATGATCCGACTGTTCCATTTGACATCACTTGGTATCATAACAATGAGTAAGTAAAGAATATTTAA